TCAAGCAAACCAATATCCTGTGACTATTCTGAGGCTAAAATTGGGAAGAGTATGCAACCCTAGGCACTGTAGGTGGAATACAAAATATGAGTATTGACACAATTTTTTTGCCTATGGCAGCATTTCTTTGGGGGTTTCCCAGTGAGCTTTACTTTGAATCCATATCTGCAGTCAGGGTTTGAGCAGAAAATCAATATATGTACACACAGGCCTGGTACGAAACATGCTGCCGCTAACCTACATTTCACAGAAGAAAAATAGGACACATGATGCCAAGCAACATCACAATGGAAGATGGACACGCAAGCAAGAATAGGCTGCAGTTTATTTTTGCCTGCGTCTACTGGGAAGGGCAAAATTCTGCCCTCTCCTATCCCTCCTGCTGAATCAACTGAGTTCAAACTAATTTTGCACATTGAACTTACTCTGCAGCAACTGAAGTAAGACAAGGGGTGAAAGTGGGAGGAGGAGAGAAAAACTGGGACATTTTTAAAGCAGCTGAAGAAGTGGGATGACAGAGGATTAATTAGGACTTTTCCTGCCGAAGAGGGGCAGTTGGGGTGTGTGTGCCATAGTGGTAGAGCACCTGTTTTGAATGTAAAAGGTCCAAAGCACAAATTCTCTAGGGGGGGTGGATGCTGGGAGAAAACACTCCCCAAGAGCTGCTGCCACTTTGTATAGGTTCCAGGCAGGGCGGGGAGACCAGTTTTGAAAACAATCTGAGGAGGTTCTTTGTAGAAGTCTCACAAGAAACCAAGATGATAAAACTAAAACTATCTTACTTTGGACATGTGTGTGTGTGCTGCGTGCTTTCAAGTCATTTCTGACTTATGGCAACCCTAAGGTGAACCTATTATAGGATTTTCTTGGCAAGATTTGTTCAGAGGAGGTTTGCCATTGCCTTCCCCTGTGGCTGAGAGAGTGTGACTTGCCCAAGGTCACCCAGTGGGGTTCATGGCTGAGTAGGAACTGAACCCTGGTGTCCAGAGTCAGTCCAACACTCAAACCACTTACCTGGAGACTTTGGACATACCAGAGCCAATGTGACTCTTTGGAAAAGATGAGAATGCCTGGTAAAGTGCAGGGCAGGACAGAAAGAAGAAAGACACAGGGTGGATTGATTCAGCCATGGCCCTGGGTTTGCAGAACCTTAGCAGAGCTGTTACTGTTTGTACGTCTTGGAGTCTCCCATTTGTAGAGTTGCCATAAATCAAAGTCAACGTCAGGCCAAACAACAGTGATAGAATTCTTTTTGCACTACAGCTCCCAGAATCCCCCAGCCAGCATGGTCTGATTTTTAAAAAAGTTACTTTCCCCTGCTGTGTGATGTTTTGTTGTTGTTTTGTTTTGGAACGCAAACGTCTACCTTGGTTTAAGGAGGAAAGACCTCTTCCTCCATGTCACTGGTGTGTTTTTTCTTTGGGTTCCTCCTCATGGTGGCTTCCAGCCGAAAAATATAGGCACACTTGGAGACCCAGCATGGCCTAGTGGTTGGAGTGTTGGACTATGACTCTGGAGACCAGGGTTTGAATCCCCACTGAGCCATGGAAACTCACTGGGTGACCTTGGACAAGTTGCACTCTCTCAGCCTCAGAGGATGGCCATGGCAAACCCCCTCTGATGAAACTTGCCAAGAAAACCCTAGGATAGGATCCCCTTAGAGTTGCCAGAAGTCAGAAATGACTTGAAGGCACACAGCACACACAACATTGGGCAAGTCACACACTCTCAGCCTCAGGGAGGCTATGGCAAACCCTCTGAAGAACCTTTCCAAGGAAACCTTGTGATAGGTTTCCCTTAGAGTCACCATAAGTCAGAAAGGACTTGAAGGCACACAACAACAACAACAGACACACACGCACACCCCTGAACACCATTTCCATTATATAATTCTGCTGCTTGGCATCATATGGCAGGCGGCTGAGTAATTCCCTGCAGAAAGAGACAAAAGTGCCTCCTTAAAAAGGAGGACAAACTGTGTTTAAAAACCCCCGCCTCCAAAAACCAAAAAAAGCAAGGAAGGAAGGCACAATGTGCCAAAGCACTCAGGCAGAGCTCCTGCAGCAGATCTTTGGTTCCTTTATATTGCAAGACCAGACAAGGTAAAAGAGGGAAGGACAAGGTTTATTTTCCCCCCCCCTTTTCCTTCCTGAGCATGCCCAGCTTTTGAAACTGGTTGCATCTCCCTTTGTGAGACATGAATTGCTGCATGGAGATCTCAACCAGGAGCTCTTAAGGATCCTTGCCTTGGAAAGGTAAACCTGAAAAGCTCATTTCTGTCTCCTTTTGCACTGTCTATGCTTTTTTAAAAATTATGATGGGAGGTGGTGGTATTCCAAAGGAGAGAAAGGCAGGAGTTTGGGGATGTTTGATCAGTGGGGCAGGGGGGGGTGTCTTCCTGTGAAAGCAAAGCTTGCTTCTCTGGGATATTCATCCAAAAAGATATTCATCTTTCTGTGTGATTCTTGTTGCTGTGTCTTATTCTCGAAAATCAACAATTTGAGATTTTCATTTCTTGCCCCCCAAAAAGGGAATGCAAAAATAGAAGGGGCTTTTTCAGCCCTACAATTGCTTGATGGATGGTTAGAGGAGAGAGTTTTCATAATTAGACTGTGGCTACATCTGCACAGGAGAAATAATCCAGTTTGATACCACTTTAGCTGCCATGGCTCCAGGCTAGGGAATTCTGAAAATGATTTGTTGTGGCACCAAATCGGATTATTTCCCCTGTACAGATGCCGCCTGTTGCTCAGTTTCAGAAGGCACAGCTGTTGCAGCAGATGTGGAAGCAACTTTCTGGTTTTTCAGCTTAGGTAAAAAGATGTAAGCATATGAAGGAGAACAAATTTCTCTTGTTGTGCATGTAGTTTAACTCTTCTCCTGCCTCCATAGAAGAATATACATTGTGGCTAATAATGATAATAATAATAAATCCTTTGGTCTATTTGTGTTGGTTAGGTAAGGATGTCAGAAATGTATTTTTGGAGGACACGGCTCAACATTGGCAGGCAGGATGTTATTAATGTGTTGTTGTCATGCGCCTTCAAGTCATGTTTGACTTGTGGCAACCCTAAGGTAAATCTATCACAGGGTTTTCTTGGCAAGGTTCTTCGGAGCAGGTTTGCCCTGGCCACCCTCTGAGGCTGTGAGAGTGTGTTTTGCCCAAGGTTGTGTATGTTGTGTGCCTTGGAGTCATTTCTGACTTCTAGCGACCCTATCCTAGGGTTTTCTTGCAGGTTTCTTCAGATCCTCTTCTGAGGCCGTGAGAGTGTGACTTACCTAAGCTCATCCAGTGGGGTTTTATGCTTGGCCGGGGAATTGAACCCTGACCTCCAGAGTTGTAGTCCAATGCTCAGACCATTATGCCATGCTCGCTCTGTTGTTAATAATTAGGTACTTATTATTATTATTATTATTATTATTATTATTATTATTATTATTATTATTGTTATTATTTATTAGGTACAGTACTATGTACTTTTATTGATTAGGTACTATTAATCTAGTTCTTGAAGGTACTGGAGAGGGCAAATTTCTTTTCTATCCGTTATTGTTGAGACATCCTTAAAGTAGGAAGACACTTACATGCATGTGTCCACGTGTTCAGTGTGGTTCATCCTCAAGTGCATTAGATGGACTGCAGGCAGGCTTTAGTATTCCTAAGAGGACTCAAAATCTTTAGCTGTATTTATATTTCTTAATGTTTAATCATTTACTGGAATTCCAATAGATAATTCCTGAAGAGGCTTAGCTACACAAGTGTTTTGGTTGTCCAATTTTGACAGATCATTTTGGGGAAGGGACTCAACACCTTCCAGCCTAGACTTGTGGTGACTTAACCCCTCAGTCCTCTCCATCTGGGGGTCATGAGGTCAGGCATGGTTTTTGTTGATCCCACCAGTTTCTGATGCCTGCTCTGAATCCAGGACATATGAATGCATGGAGATCAGTACAGTCAGCCCTCCTTATCCACAGATTCAGCCATCCACAGCTTGAAAATATTCATATATATATATATTCCAAAAAGCAAACTTTGATTTTGCTAATTTATATAAAGGACACCATTTTGCAGTACCATTGTATTTCATGGGACTTGAGCATCCACAAATTTCGGTATCCACGGTGGTGTGTCTGTGCTGGAACTGAACCCCAGCGGATACCAAGGGCCCACTGAAATAGATTGACATAGCAGGGATTTTGCAGAATGAGAGATTGTCTTGCAATTCTGGATGCAGTTGAGGCATGCAGGAATTGATGGATGCAAGCCTCGCAGACGTGACCCTCTGAGGAATTCTAGAGTGTGAGTCTGGACATTTTCACATAGCCCCCAGAGGGTACCTTTGTACATGTTGCCTCTGTTGCAATTGAGGGTGACAGAAATAAAAAAGGGAAAGGATTCAGTGTTCTGTTACTATTGGAAGCTGTTGGTGGTTAATGAGGAGACTTTGCTGCAACAGGATTAACTTTGTCATGGAGTAATAAGGCAAGGATATGACTCTGCGGCACCCTAGCTAGCCTGTCCCATGTATTCACCATCCTTATTGTGCTGCAAGAGCTGGCTAACGTGGGAAGATATAGGGTCATATCCCCCCTCTCCCAGGATCTATCTGGGTGTGAATTGAGTGAGACTTCTCTGGGTCTAACCTACCTCGGAGGGATGGTGTGAATATAAATATAAAATGGGGAAGGCAATGTTGCTTTATGTAGATGAAGTCGAGGAATCTTTGCAGGTCATGTAGGGCCTTTGCAGACTGCCAGAAATAGTGCACATTAAATTGAGGCACTGCTCTGGCTCAGTGCTAGGGAATCATGGGAACTGTAATTTATTGTGGCACCAGAGCTCTCTGACAGAGAAGGCTCAATGTCCCAGAAAAAATACAATTCCCATGACTCCCTAGCAGTGAGCCAGGGCAGTGCCTCAATTTAATGTGCACTATTTCTGGCAGTCTGCAAAGGCCCGTAGAAGGAGTCCCATCCCACCCCCTCCAAATTAAGGAAGGTGGCAGGTATTTCTAGTAATAAACAAACACACCTTCTCAATAAAAGAGATTGCTTTCCAGTATTTTATCTTTTGGTCAAGATGAATACATTGTAAATCATCAACAGGTCTCTTTCATTGGTTTTTGCCTCCAAATGGCAATCTAGTGGCTTTCACAAGGGGGCCAATAGAGATAGAGGATTTGTGCCAGTAGCACTAAGTAGGCACCCTGTTACTGAGTGTGTAGTACTCTTTGGGTGTCTAAATAACCTAAATGCACCTGATCCTGTCTGATCTTGGAAGCTAAGCGGGGGGACCTGATTAGAACTTGGATGGGAGTCCACCAACGAATCGCAGGTGCTGCTGCAGGCTATATTTCAGAGAAAGGACAAAATCACCTCTGACTACTCCTTGCGTAAGAGACCCCTATGCAACTCATGAAGTTGCCATATGTTGACAGGTGATTTGACAACACATACACACAGTATGCCTAGGATTTGTGATGCTACACCTGGCATAAGCAATGCAGGATGTTCTTATCCCTGCTGTGCAGCCATGCCCTTGAGCTAGTAGTGCTAAAGCAGCATTGTCACCTCCAAGACTGCAGTTCCTTTCTGTTTGTTGTTGTTATGTGCTTTCAAGTCATTTCCGACTTATGGCCACCCTAAAGGAAGCCTATCATGGGGTTTTCAGGATGACTTGCCCAAGGCCATCCAGTGCGTTTTCATGGCCTAGTTTCCAGAATCATAGTCCAATGCTCAAACCACTACAGCACACTGGTCCCTGCTGTTGCATGGATACAGTTAATTTATTGGTAGCCACCCTTGGAAGTAGGAATTCGTGTGGGGCAAGCTGAGAAGCTGTGGCAAAGAATCATTTAGTTCAGTGCTCAAACTGCAGGGGGGAATTAGAAAGGCCTTCAATGAACTCCACCAGTAGCCGAAACATATCCACAGAAGTCAGTTCAGAACAGCAGCTAAGGAAGCTCACCTGCCCTCTCTAATTTCAGCACTGATTTTGTTTCATGAGGTCATTGTCATTTTACCCATGATGGTGGACTAATTTCTTTACCATTGGCAAAGCCTTGTTAAGAAACATGAGGAGTGAAGATCTGCAGCTGGTTGTTCATGGGATCAGGGATGGTGCATCGAATCAATTCCCAGCAGCCGTAGCCAGTGGTGGGAAACGCTGGGAGTTGCAGTCCACCAACATCAGAGGGCTACATAAATCCCACCCGTTTTAGATGCAACCCCTTACTATAATTTTGGAATCATTTTTACAAACATGTCAGATTTGGTGGGGATTCTGCTATGATTATACTATGATATTGGCTACTGTCAAATTGTTCATATGAAATTTGAGAAATATGAGTCAGTGCCTCAAAAAAATTAGGGTATATATAGAATCATGAACAATAATATTATGGGTTTGGGTTTCCTTTCCACTTCTTTCTTGTTTCCAATACTTCAGTTTTTATTTGCCTTTACATGTCTCAGTAGATCACTGAAAACCTGCTGGCTATTAACATATGCTTATTTTAAAGCAAAAAAAAAAATCTTTAACAAGTGCCTGTGTCAATTTTTCTTTAATCTAATACTTGGTTATGTATTGTGCACAGAACAGTGCTGTCTGATAAGATGAGAGACAGAGTCTTGTGCATGTAATTGGATAGTCTGTACTTGCTATCAAAGGACCACTATAGTTTACACTATTTTTCTACAGTATGGACTGCTCTGCTGGAATAAAATTGGGTTTTATAGGAAGGAGAGAACAAATGTGTATGCCAGGATGGACAATGCACACAGGATCAGGGGCCACTTTTCAGGTTGGACAAATGCTTATGCCCACATGTCCAGGCCTACAGAGAAAGGGTAGAGTTTAGCAGGTTTTTTCATAAATAATACATGAAATAGCTAAAAATAGACCACTTTTCCACTTTTATTTTATTTTTTAAGTTTAAATTTCATTATTAACAAGTAAAATTTCCCTCCATTTATTATTAACAAATCAATTTAATGTTATTAACACTCGTCCTTGATAAATGGGCATCTGGATAGATTAACTTTATTAACAAATATAAAATCCCCATGCATACTTGAATAGTTATTAAATGTTTATATAGATGGGCTTTCCTGTTTATTTATTTACAATAAAAACAAAAAACACAAATAGATAAGTATCATTATTACAATGTAACAAACATCAGTTTTCAAATTATCATATATTAACAATCCTACTATGTCTCCCATATATTTTCAGATGTTTTGTCTTCTTCAGCACCTTTTCCTTCTTATTCCAGTTTATATTCCTTCCACTTCCTCCTTATCATTTTATAATCCTCCTACTTTCTTTTCCCCTCTCCCTATTACTTTCTAATGCCCCTACTTCTTTTTCCTTCTTCTTCTCTCCTTTTGTACTCCTCCTTAATCTCCTTCACTCAATCTCTTGATCTTTGTTTGTTCCTTACTCCCCTCTTTCTCTTGCCTCCATCTTCACCTTCTCTTACCTTCTCACATATTTCCTACCTTGTTACACATTCTTACGTCACACTAATCTTCCTTATTTACTTAACTTGTTTTACATCTTTCCACATCATACTACAATATATGCATACTCCTAACCAGAGTTCCTTTCCCAGTTCATGGTGCATTTTATGTAACTGTTCCTTCTCTTCTCAGTGTCTTATCACTGTTCTTGTTCTTGGTCTTCTAATTTATTATCATACTATCTAACTCTTATATGATATTCTTCATCTATCTATATATCATACTATTTACCTATAATACCAATAGATGGACTTTCAATGTACTTAAATTGATTTAACTATTACAGGCATACTTCAGTTAACAGAAGCTCCTTTTTCCACCTTTTTTTTTTTTTAACAGAAGACCAGCCCAGCTCCCCTTTTCTTGTCCTCAGTCTAGCTGGAAGTATTTTTGCTTGTTTGTTTTTTTGCAGCACTGGCACTGGGAGGATAGTGAAGGAGGGCTGGAAAAAGACAAACTTTCAGTGTTGGCTTGCTGCAGCATGTCTGCAGTCAACAATGCAGTAAAGCTTGATCTTAATGAATGGGATTCTACTCTGGGTCATCCTACTGTAGTTGTGTGTGCTTACATACAACAGGCAAGGTAAACAGCTGCTTCTAGAATCTCTTGCTGAGCATGTTTAGCCTGCCGTATCACCTTCCCTGGCATGTTGACAAAGCAAAGATGTATAAGTTTTCTCACCAAGATGGAAATCATTAAAAAAAGTGGAGGCTGTTGAAAGAAAAACATAATCCCAGGTTGCATTTTGGAAGAAGCTCAAGTGGTGTCTATATTCAAAAGGTTTTTGTTATGCAAGGTTTACCTGACCTCCTTATTTCACTTCACATGTGTTTAATATTAGTTCTGAATAA